CTTCAGCCCAGTCCAGAGTGAACTTCTGTGTTAAGACAGTTTTCCCAATGCCAGCCACTCCCTTTGTCATCACTGTTCTGATTGGTTGATCTCTTCCAGGTGAGCCTTTAAAGATGTCCCCTTGTCTGATGGTTGTTTCTGTTCTGTCTGGTTTTCTGGATGCTGTTTCAATCTGTCTGACTTCATGTTCATCGTTGACCAATGCAATCCCTTCCTCTGTGACATAGAGATCTGTGTAGATCTGATTCAGAAGGGCTGAGGTTCTTGCTTTAGCGATCCCCTCAAACACACGCTGGAACTTCTTCTTCAGGGTTGATTTCAGTGCCCATTGGCACAAAGTGGAGCTGCTTCCTAAATTAACACAAATTGAATAAATTGTAGAAACTACAGGAAATTTCAATGTTGATAACAAACACCTGACTGTACTTTGTCAGGATCATTTCCTCGATGACATGTCCTTGTCTGAGTCATCCTTGTTCTGAATAGATATACACACATCTGTCATAAAAACACAGTACCCCACCTACTACTTGTTCATTGGTTTTCAATTCAAAGCTCATAATAAATTAGACATATAAGCCACACAATGTACTAAAGCTAAGGCTACTCCGGTTGTTATGGTGTCATTGCTATCATTGATAAAATGATAACAAACATTTGGACACACTGCAATTATAGGCAAGTGTAGCTAGCCAGGAACTATTGAGCCACCACTACATAATGTTATCAGAATTTGAAAATGTAAAGCTTTCTTTTGTTGCTTCTATTTGTTCACTCTGTCTTGTTAAACCTGTTAAAATCCTCTTACTGCTCTGCAGACAGTCAGCCAGCTCCTCCTGCTTCATTCTCCTCAGGAAGTGCAGAGTGATCTTCAGAAATGAGTCTCTGCTGCACCTTCTCTGATCTTCATCTTCACCCTCCAACATCTCCTCCTCTTCCTCCTTCTGACTCTCTAAGCATTCTTGGTAATCTGGACTCAGAACCTTCTGGATCTTCTTCAACTCATTCTTCATGAAACTGGTGATGTTCTCCTCCAGCAGCTGGAACAGAACATTTAAGCTTGGGTTTACAATAACAGAAGACATCATTGAATAAAGGCTCCTTGGGGTCTTTCTGCGTGGAGTTTGTATGTTCTCCCTGTGCCTGTGTGGGTTCTGTCCAGGTTCTCCAGCTTCCTCCCACAGTCCAAAAACATGCTGAAGTTAATTAGTGACTCTAAATTGTCTGTAGGTGTGAATGTGAGTGTGCTTGGTTGTCTGTCTCTCTATGTGGCCCTGTGATAGACTGGCGACCTGTCCAGGGTATAACCTGCCTTTCCCCTAAGTCAGCTGGGATAGACTTCCACCCCCTGTGACCCTACAAAGGATTAAGCGGTGTATAGATAACTGAATATTGTGTGACAGACTGAATGCCTGCTGGGTGGTTGTGGATCAGCAGTTTGTTCTCTAATCAGATGTTCAATCCTGGGGCCTTATTTATCATCTGCGTGTACGCACAGATATGTGCATAGAGAGTGTGTACGAACATTCCTACGCAACGTGTGGAATTTATCAGCTTGTACTTATAATTCAGAATGCGCATAAACATAAGCACAACTCTGACCATGCTTACGCACATAATTTGGCGGTAGAACAGTGACACTACAAATAGAAAGCATTCAGGGATTTTTGGCCACCGGCTCATTCCAGCGTGAGGTTGGAGACATATGCGGCATCTCCCAGCCATCACTGAGCAGGACCAAGCCAGCAGTGTTGGATGCCATAACTCCCCTGGCCCCAGCCTACATCCAATTCCCTTAAAGCCATCACCGATGAACCCAAATCAAACGGGGACTTAACGCTGTCGCTGGATTCCCAAACATAAGTGGAGCCATAGACAGCACCCACATCACAATCAAAGCACCAACATTAAACAAATCGAATTAAGTTAATAGAAAAGGGTTTCATTCAATCAACGTACAAATAATTTGCCATGCACATTTGTCGCTATCAAATGTTGTTGCCTGGTGGCCTGGAGGAACGCACGACTCATTCATTGAGCAGATCAGCTCTGTGGGTCTCCAAGCAGGAACTGTTGAAGGTGGCTGACTTATCGGTGAGTGCTACAGTGTGTAAATGTTTTTGCTGGACTTATAATGGTTTTTAAAACTCATCTGTAGTGATCAGGGTTATCCACTGGGGGAATGTTTGGTATTAATTCGTCCTCCTCCAGCTGCAGTCATTTCTCTTTTATGGGCTGTGACGCATTTTTTGACACT